GTCATACTGATCTGTGGAGCTTATCGCAGGGATTAGGCAAATCGCAGGTAACGGTCTAAGCACACTGCTTTACCTGCAACTTTAGCTTACTCAGTGAGGACAACAGTGGCCCCTAGGGACAGTCTGGGACATTCGGGGCTGTTTCCAGGATCCCCAGTGCCACCGGCTGTTGGTGCAAAGGGCAGGGTCCAAGGATCTCCTGCCCTGAATATCCAGGTTGTAGGTGCAGTGAGCACAGCTCCTGGGTTCCGTGACAAATCAGTGCCTTGTTCTGCTGCCGGGATGATGCCTGAACCCTGGGCCTTCTCACTGAGCCTTTTTCAAACATTTTTTTATTTTGAGACGGGGTAGCACCATGTTCCCCAGCTGGGCTATAACTTGTGATCCTCCTGCCTCAGCCTCCCAGAATTCTGGGAATACCAGTGTGCCCCAGCACCCCGGCACAAAAGCAGTTTTTGGCAGTTTTAAGACAAACAGACTTTTCCAGGAATTGACTATTCTGGTCAATCTCAACAGCAGCAGCAGGGTCACTTCTTGGTCAGGGGCCGTGGCACACCTGTGTGTCGGGCCACATTCATCGCTGTCGTCACTTACGTGCGCACCTCTGACCCTTTGACAACGCTCCGTGTGCTGAGGGCACAGGGGCCCCCGGGGACCTCAGCGCAGTGCAGAGCCCCCAGCTGTGGCTATGGAGGGCCCGACTCCGCCGTTTCCCACACCTGGGCCTGGCCGTGTGCGCTGAGCAGGGCTGCGGGACACGTTCCACTGTGACGCTGTTTACCTCCTGCCTCAGTGACGGCACCACCCCCAGCCAAGGTCCCCAGACGCAGCCTCCATGGTTTAAGCTCCCACGGGGGTAACTGCCGGCAGGGCGAGGGGGCAGGAGAGCCACGGGGGCTGGCCTTGGGGTGTGCAGAGGACCGCAGCAGAGATGGCTTCCCCCTGAGAAGTGGCCTCTGGACATAGTGTAGGCCCGGCTGGGCCGAGCAACAGCTGTCGGCAGTCACCGCTCGTCAGGAGCGGGGGTAAGGCTGGGACAGGGTATGCCGGTGTGCAGGGCGATGGCGGGGCTGCAGCCATGCTGGAGGCGGGGTGGGGCTGTGCCAGGACCCCTGAACCCCACGATGCCAGTGGTGAGGGGTGAGAGGCCAGTTGGAGGTGCAGAGAAAGACCAAGCAGGACACCAAACAACCCAATGAATATGTGGAAGCCGGGCGTAGTGGCGTGCACCTCTGATCCCAGCCCTTGGGAGGCTGAGGCAGAAGGACTGCTGCAAGTCCAAGGCCAGCCTGGGCTACAAGTGAGTGCAAGGTCATCCCAGTCTACATAGTGAGACCTTGTCTCAAAAAACCAAAAATTAAAACAAAAACATGGACAAAGGGCCAAGCATGGTGACATGCGCCTGTGACCCCAGCACCCTGGGAGGATGAGGCAGGAAGACTGGAAATTTCAAGCCTAGCGTGGGTAATTTAGCAAGACCCTGTCTCAAAATACAAAAAAATAAATAAAAAAAGGGCTAGGGATGTAGCTCAGTGTGAAGGACCTAGGTTCAATAGCTCCCCACCGGGCTGGGGATTTAGCTCAGTGGCAAAAGCGCCTGCCTGGCAAGTGCAAGGTCGTGAGTTCGGTTCCCGGTACCGGAGAAAAACCAAACAACAAAAACAACAAAATAGCTCACCACCAAAGAAAAAAGCAGGTAGGGGAGAAAGGTGTACTTGAACAGATGTTTCTCCAGAAATAAACAAATGGGGCTGGGCATGTGGCTCAGTGGTAGAGCACTTGCCTAGTGTGCCCAGGCCGTGAGTTCAATCCCAGCACAACACACACACACACACACACACACACACACACACACGTATGTACATATATACACAAATGGTCAACAAGCACATAAAAACAAGCTCAGCTCCACTAACCACCACAGAAATGCAGATCAAAACCACAGAAAACACCACCTCACACCACCCAAGAATGACCAGTGCTGGAAGGAGATACTGAAGCAGAAAGCCATGCACAGTTGGCAGGGCTGTGAACTGCTACAGTCCCTGTGGAAAACAGTATGGTGTTTCCGCAAAAACTGAAGGTGAAGCCGGGCGCGGTAGCACACGCCTGTAATCCCAGCACTCAGGTGGCTGAGGCAGGAGGATCATTGTGAGTTTGAGGCCAGCCTGGGCTACAAAGTGAGCTCAAGGCCACCCTGAACTGCACAGGGAGACCCTGTCTCAAAAAATGACAACACAAACAAACAAACAAAAAACCGAAAACTGAAGGCGGAATTATCCTGTGATCCAGCAGCCGCCGTTCTGGGTATAAGTCCAAAAGAACTGAAAGGAGAATTCTGACATTTGCACACCCATGTTCGCAGCAGCGCCGTTCACAGTAAGCCAAAAGGCGGTGGCAGCCTGTGTCCATACACAAATGGGAAACAGTGTGCCCTATTCACTTCACGGCAAGGGAAGCAAAGTCTGACCCACACAACCACATGGGCGCGCCGGAAACAGGCCAAGTGAAGTAAGGCAGCCACAGGAGGACAGATACTGTAAGGGCCCACTTATGCGAGGTATTTAGTGTAGGCAGAAATTTTAGGGGCAAGCAAATGCAGTGGCACACACCTGTCATCCCAGCCCTCAGAAGGCTGAGACAGGAGGATCCCTGTGTATTTGAGGCCAGCCTGGGCTACATAGTGAGTTCAAGGCCAGCCTTTACTACATAGGGAGAGTCTGTCACAACACAAAAAATAAAAACAATAAAAATATCAAAACGCTCAATGGTGGCCATTGGTTTCTTCCCTAGGTTCCTGTGTGGTCCCATCAGAGCCGCCCTGCACCCCGCCCCCGAGCCAGGTCCTGTTGCTGGCACTGGATCCTATCCAGTTCCCACCTGGCTCTTGACGTGGATAAACCTGTCACTAAGCTTCCCTGGGCTGAGTCCCTTTAACCACCCATGGCCCCGGACCAGCAGCGTCTGGCCTCCAGTGAGTTACTGAGCAATGATTGTCTAGCCTCAGTCCTTCCTCGGAAATTAAGTCGAGCGCAATTCCACGTTCTGCCAACAGGTGGCGCTGCCTGCCACAAAGATGCTCTCGCAGGGTTCTCCCGCATTTCAGGATGCTAATTGCTGGAGCAGCAGTTACCATCTGACACTACCACAACCTACCGGGGCATGGTGGCCCATGCCTGTGACCCCAGCACTTGGAGGCTGAGGCAGGAGGGTGGCAATTTCAGCATTCCCCTGCATGGCATCTGTCTTCTTACCAAGTCAGCACAATGTCCCCTTCCAGGAGCTACCTCCTCAGGAACACAATTGCACAACACTCATGATCTCGCCAGTGATGCCTCAGTTCCTGAAAGACTCAGCTCATGGCTCAGTGTGGGCTGTGGTCAGCACCTGCACTGATTTCATTCCTATGCTGGCCAGCCTGAGTCAGCTTCTTCAATATCCTCCCTTAAGATGTTTGGTTTCTTGAGAGGGTCTCACTATATATCCCTGGTTGGCCCTGATTTTGCAATCCTCCTGCCTCAGCCTCCAGAGTGCTGTGGTCACAGGTGTGTGCTTTGGCTATTTTTCTTAATTGCACTTAAAAATAATTCAAAATTCCTGCCTTACCAAACAAGGTCCTTGTGAGTTTCAAGGCCCACCCACTGCACAAAGCAGCCTAGAGCCCAACACAGCGCTCGCGCCACCTAGACAGCCTGTGTGCATGTGTGCACGTGTGTGTGGAATCAAACCCAGGACCTCCTGCATGCCAGGAGATCGCTCTACTCCTGAGCCACACCTCCAAATCCTGTTTTTAAATCCAAGGCATCAGCTTATTTCTATGATTTATTTTTCTTAAAACTCATGATAACTTGTGACACTCAAATGACTAACCTCTTTTATCTAGTAATTTCCTAAAAAACAGCAAGAAACAGACTAATATCCTCAAAAATGGGCCAAGGGCATCGACAGGCAATCCACAGAAAAAAAACACAAGGGCCAAGGATATAGCTTAGCGGCACAGCGCCTGCCTGGAAAGCGCAAGGTCATGAGTTCGATTCCTGGTACTGGAAAACAAACAAACAAAAATAATAATAAAATAAAATAAAATAAAAACCCCTGGGCATGGTAGCACACATCTGTCATCCCAGCACTCAGGAGGCTGAGGCAGGTCAGCCTGGGCTACACGGTGAGAGCTTGTCTCAAAATAACAAAAAATAACAGTAACAACAAAAAACCAACAAGGAATATACATGAAACAGACAAGAAAGGCAGCCTCTGGAGTGGGGGGGGGCACTTCATGGTGATTTTGAACCCCATCAATGTTATTCAGAAAAACAAAATTAGACCATTGCAGGGGTCAGTACTAGGGGATGCGCCTGGGCCTTTGCACTGAGCTACATCTCCAGCTCCCCTCTTTATTTTTTGAGACAGGATCTCTTTTTTTCTTTCTCAGTACCGGGAATCCAACTCGGAACTTTGTGCTTGCCAGGCAGGTGCTTGTGCCACTGAACTATATCCCCAGCCCTTGAAACAAGATCTCAGTCAGTCACTAAGTTTCCCAGGCTAGGCTTAAAAACTTGTGATCTTCCCACCTCAGCATCCCATAACGCTGGGATTACAGGCATACACCACTATGCCCAGCTACTTACACATACTGAACCCTTTCTTAGTTTTTTTTTTTTTTTTGGAGACAGGGTCTCGCTGTGCAATTCAGCCTGGCCTTGAGCTCACTTTGTTGCCCAGGCTGATCTCGAACTCGCAACGATCCTCCTGCCTCAGCCTCCCAAGTGCTGAGATTACAGGCCTGCACCACCACACCTGATGCTAAACCCTTTCTTTTTACTAAACTTTCTGGCTGCACTCCAGGGAACTGACTTGCAGTATGTTCAACAGTACATCCTGCCTTGCAGAAATCCACCCGGCAGACTACACCGAAACCCAAACCTGCACTTCCTCCCTCTGTCGACAGGTGGTGCTGCCCTGCTGACCAAGAGGCAAAGAAATAGGCGGGCACCCACGAGTAACATAAAATAGAAACTAACTTTATTTCTCTGGAAGAAGCAGATACTGACAGCTGGGACAGCAGCTTTGGCGACAGAGGCTGGTGGGAAACAACGGCACAGAGGAAGAGCTGGGTGCAGACAGGAAGCACTGGTGTCCCTCTAGGGCAGCTGACCCTTGGTCTTCCAACCCTGGGGCCTTGGGCCCTGGTCCCTGCCAGAAAACGGTCTGGCACCTCCGCTCCGCTTCCTGAGCCACCCTGGCTATCTCCAGGCGTAAGATCCTACGACGGGTAGACCCCGTAACAGGCCTACAGTCCACAGCAGGCTGCAGTCCGATCCTGCCCGACCCCCGGGGCCCGCAGGGCTCCCAGCCCGGCGACGGCCTTCAGGGGCTGGCGCCTCTGCGTGGGCACACGTCTCCCGCCGGTCCCGCTCGCTTCCTTTCAGTCTGGTCCCCCGGGCAGGGCCTGGCCCAGCCTCGGACATCCCGGCCGGCTCACAGGGCCCTTCCCACCTCCTGGCGGGGGCACTGGGGACTGAACCACGTGCGCAGGGACGGTGCTGGGTGAGGGGTGGGCAGGGCGGGCGCCGGCCTCACTCTTGCCCTGGGAACAACCGGCGACAGCAGGTCCTCCGGCCCGGGCGGGCGGCCTCCCCAGCCGGCGCGTGCGCAGCTCACGCCACTCCCTCAGGGCAGACACTCGGTCTCCAGAGGCCGCTCAGCGCCTGCGGAGGGAAAGAGCCCAGGCCCGTCACGCAGGCTGGCAGTGCCAGGAGAGGCTGAGCACCAGCAGCTGGAGGCAAGTTCTGGAGCTCGTCACGCTGGGATGGGCTCTCTGCGGTGAGACGACAGCACTGCTGCTAGCACCCAAGGCCGCGGGACAGAAAGCCTCGGCTTTTCTGGGGGCCAGTTAAGGAGAAAACCGGGAGACACCTCCTCCCACTGACCACCTCGTGTGGGCGACAGCGCCGTCCTCACCCGGAGCCCCCCACCTCGGCTGGACACAAAGACAAGAGCCACGCTGAGAAACAGGCAGCGCACAGCGGCTCCCCCGCCATCGGCCCCAAGCCCCCCGCAAGCCAGGTCCCTCGGCCCGCAGCACTGGCTTCTGACAGAGCTGGTGCCACCTGCCTGCCTGTGAGCCACTACTCTCAGACTGACGGAGGCTTCAAGCCTGTATTTATATCCACTCCACGTTATTTACAAAATTCCCAGCACTCAGGAGGCTGAGGCAGGAGGATCACTGTGAGTCTGAGGCCAGCCCGGGCTACAAAATGAGTTCAAGGCCAGGCTGAACTGCACAGTGAAACCCTGTCTTACAAGGACAAAAATAAGTAAGTTTCAAAAAACCATGAACTATAGATACATATGTATGTGTGCATGTATAATGTATGTACACACATATGTACGAAGGCATGTTTTGAAACTGGGTCTTCGTATGTTGCGCAGACTGGCCTCAAAATCTTGGGCTCACACTATCTTGCCTCAGCCTCTTGATTGCCGGGAACAGTGAGGTCCAAGGCATTAACATCTTTAACAGTGACTCTAAACAGGAACATGAAAATAGGTAGGAAATGTCTGCGTGAAGCCCTGGGCCTGGCCCGCAGGGGCTGCACCCCAGCCACTCCCCAGCTCCAGGAGGAGGAGCCGTCCCAGCGCGCACGGCCTGCCCCGGCCTGAAGCAGCGCAGGCACTCACTTGTGGCGGGCGGGGCCACAGGAGCCCAGCAGGTGGCAGCCGGCCTGCTCCAGGTCCCAGTCAAACATCTCCAGCACTTTGTGGCACTCCATTCTTGGCCGCAGCCCCAGCCCGAAGAGCTGCTCCACCTGGGGTCAGAGGGCAGCGCTGTGGGGTCCAGGGCGGAGGGGCACAGTGCTGGGCAGGGCAGTCAGTGCAGGCGGGGGCGGCAGCAGTCTCGGGGCCCTGGCGGCAGAGCGGCGGGCAGCGGCGGTACCTTCAGATACTGGGCAGCCCTCTGCACGCTCCAGCCGTGGCTCTGCAGGGCAGCCTGGCACTCCTCTGTGGTCACCCCGTGTACCATGGCCTGCAGCTGGGCACAGTCCCGTAAGCACCGCACCCAGCCCCTCGTCCCTCGGCCTCGCCCACCCCGCAGCCAGCCCACTCACCATCTGGACCTTGTCCGCGGGCCGCGCGGTCTCCGGCCCGTCCCTCGGGCAGCCCCTCTGCAGGGCGGGCGGCCGGACGGCAGGGTTGCTGTTGTTGGTGGAGAAGTTGGCCTTGGGGTCCGGGGCGGGCTGGGGCATGGGTCGCACGGTGGCGGTGGGGGCCGCGGGGGCCGGGGTGCTGGGCGGAGGCAGCAGGAGGGGCGCGGGCTGCGGGGCCGGCTCCTCGGGGCTCGGCGCCTCCCGGAGAAAGCGCTGGTAGCGCTCCAGGTAGGGCGGGCGCTCAGGCAGCAGGTAGTAGTGGGTGCTGCTGACCTTCCGGCCATCGCGCACGATGGGCAGGATGCAGGGCCCTGCCCGGGGGCCAGGAGCCTGGATCACCTGAGGGGTGGCATACTTGGGGTCGGAGGCAAAGCTCTGAGTGGTAGGCATGGTCTTCCCTGGGGAGCTCGAGAGCCGGGGTGGCAGCGGGGAGCTGCCAGGCGGCACCAGCGGGCTGGGGGTCCTTGAACCTTGTGGGGACAGGGGCTCCCGGGGAGGTACCCGAGGCGGGGATGCAGGTCCAGGCCACCGGCCCAGCTCCTCCTCTCCCAAGGGGGCCGGAGATAGCTCAACGCGCGGGCGCGTGGGCCGCGGGGGGATGGGTACGCGGGGCGGCACCTGGGGCCTGTCGTCACCCCCGGGGCCAGGCGAGGGCGCCAGCGAGCCTGTGGGGACCTGCAGCTGCCGCATGCACTCCTGCTGCAGCGCCTGGAAGATCTGGGCGGTCTGCGCCGAGCTGGGCGGTGGGCCCCCGCCCTGGGCGGGCAGGAACAAGTTGTCCTCCAGCGCCGGGGGGCGCCGCGCGGGCTCTGGCACGAAGGCAGAGTTGGTCTCGCCCTGGCAGGGCGCAGGGGCCAGCTCAGTGCCCACCAGTGTGCTGTTGATGCAGCAGACCTCGAAGTCCTCCTCGTCCTGGGCCACATCATCGTAGGCAGGGGGTGGGGGCAGCGGGCGCGCGTCCCAGTCCACCACCGGCGTGGGGTGCAGGGGGCGCGGCAGGGCCCGCGTGGGGCTCTGGGGAGGAGTTTTGTCCAGCAAGGAGTAGGCGTCCATGGCCAGCTGCGCCAGGGAAGGTGCACAGGGCCGAGCGGCTGGGACCACAGGGTCCTCGCTGAAGTCGATGAGGGTAACCTCGCCGCCCCCGCCGCTGCCACCACGGCCTGCCTTGGTGCCTGGGACCCGGGCTGAGGGCTTCGACAGCCACAGCCCCCGGGGCAGGCCTGGCTTGCGCAGACCCAGTCTCTTGAAGTCCCCGGCCAGGGGGTCCGGGTCCTCACTCACAGGGTCGTAAGTGGGCTCTGGATGGGAAGGCAAACCCCCAACAGAGTCAGGCAGGGCAGAGGCCGCGGGCCGGGAGGGCAGGGGGAAGGGAGCCAGGTACCCCACAGGCCCCACTGCCAGTTCCCCAAGTCATCCACCCCTTGGCTGCAAGCGCCCAACACGCCACACCCCATTCAGACAGCCACGACCAGGGGTGCCCACGTCCGCCTGGGCCCTCTGGCCCCGCGCGGGCCTGGCCTCCTCTACAGCAGTGCAGGCAGCACCCACCCTGCCGCCTCTCAGACGCCCCCTGCAGGACACGAGGCCCCCATGCCCGCGACAGTCGGGTAGCCCTCCTCTCCCCCACTTCTACACAGCACAGGGCCAGTGCAGGGTGGGCAGCAGGACCCCCAGGAGACGGCACTTGTGGGCAAACCCCCAGACCCGAGGGAGGGCGCAGGCAGAACGGGGCCACAGCACAGGAGCCAAGGGGTTCCCCAAGCCCAGGCTGCGAGTGTCCGGCAGGGAGGAAGCGGGCAGGCCGGGCTGGGCCAGGCCAGGCCAGCAGCAAAAGCTCACAGCAGCCGCCTCCTCCCCCAGCTCGTGTACCTTCCAGGAGGAGAGGAGAGGAGAGAGGAGAGAGGGGGCAGGGGCGTCCTGCACGGCCCCACTTACTCCGAGTGAAGATGGCAGGCTGAGGAGGGCGAGGTGGAGGCTCCCCTGCAAGATAGGCCGTGCGGACGGGACGGGGACGGGGAGAGAGCCGGACCGCACAGGGAGGGAGAGAGGACAGAATTGGGGGGGCACGGCAGGGCGGGACAGAGAGGGCCATGGAGCAGGACGGAGGGAGGACAGGTGAGACAGCGGACACAGGCGGAGTTGGGGTGGGGGAGAGCGCAGTGAGTAGGCGCGAGCGATGTGCAACCCCAGCACGGAGGGGAGGCGGCGGGCGGGCGGGGACGATTGACAGGCGCAGGAGACGGGAGCCCCCGGCTGAGGCGAGGGTGGAGCTTCGGCGCAGGAGAGGAGCCCAGGGTTAGGGAGGGGAGGAAGGAAGCCGGGGCGGGCAGGGCTGTGTGGGAAGAGCAAGGACGCCCACCTCGGGGGACACAGCTGCCTCTCCTCGGCCACCCCACGCCCAGCCAAGCCACGGACACAACTGTCCCCAGAGCACAGAGCAGGCCCGGGTGGCCTGGGCACTCCAGGGAGCAGCACTTACTCTTCAGCCTTCCCAGGTGCTGGGCAGGCCGGGAGGCGCTCAGCTCCACGCTCAGCAGGTCAGGGGGGTCCATGGGGTTCCCCAGGTACAGTCTGCACAGAGAGGCCAGAGCTGAGGTCCCCCCGCAGAGGTCAGGCAAGATGAAACCCCAGCAGGTCCAGGGGACTCTACGCCTGAGCCCCTGCATCTCAGAGCCCTGCAGCAGAGCTGGGCCAGGGCTGCGGGCTCCTGAAGCCCACTCTGCCTGCCCCGTGTGTCCACAGATCTAAGCAAGAGTCTCAGAGAGGGCAGGGACCAACCCTAGCCCAAGGGTCACCACCACCAGCCCATATCCCACAGCGGCCGCGGAAGTGCAGGGGACGAGGATGCCACGGCCAGGCCTCGCCAGCCCATCCACCAGCACCAACAGCTGGCACCACACCCGCCCCGCTCTGCCTCACATCCTGCCCGGCACGCGGCTTCTGGGAAAGTGAGGGCAGGAGTGAGGAAGAGCACAGCTCAGGGGAGCAAGGCCGAGAGAGGGGGTGAGCACAGCGGCGCCCCGCTCAGCCCAGAGGGCAACAGCAGAAGGTAGCCGAGACGGGCGGACCCACCCCGTGTGTGGGCAAGGGCCCCGCAGGAGAAGGCGCCAGGGGAGAAAGCATGACCGGCACGTGCATGTGGCCCTGGGCCCCTACCGTCCGCTCAGGACAAGCTCTGGTCTCCTACAGCAGCTGTGAAGGGGACGCAGGGCTCTGGGTGCAGCTGCACTGCGCACCCTCAGCCCTCACTCTGACCACACAGCAAGCCCTGCTGTGCCCACACGTGCCCTGCAGCTGGCAGCCAGGCAGGAAGCAGGGGACAGTGGCCTGACCCCAGGGCAAGCGCGTGGGGGGGGGGTCACCCATGTCGGCTGGGTCAGGACACGAGCCTGTGTGAACGCTGAGAGGTGGCAGTGACACCACCCCCGGGAAACATGGGAAGCTGCTTCTCAGGTCCCTGCTATAGCTGGAGCCGAGGTCCTCACACCCAGCACTCTTCTGGTACAGCAGAAGTGGGGTCAGGGGCTTTCAAGCAGGGGTCCCATTCCTGCCATGGAAAGCACAGCAGCCTTGGGAAAGCGGGGAGAAGCGCCCTGGAGGTGTCCCTTGGAGCCCTGCTCAGTAGCACGCACCGTCTTGTGGGGGGCCCAAGCCCTTCTGCCGGGGTGCGTGTTTCACAGAAGATGCAAGCCTGGCCCCCGGCTGGCAGAGCAGCATCCAGCCAGGGTCCACAGAGGGGGCAGGACCGGCAGGGAGCGTGGTGTCTGGGCCGGATACTCACTCATCAATGCGGTCGGGGAAGCCCCAGCAGTGGCGGGGGTCACTGTCCCCGTGCCCCGTGTGGATGAAGCTGTTCTGCAGGGGCTGGCTGATGTCCTGGGCCGACAGGCCGGCCACGGAGGTCACCGCGTTGCGCGGGAAGGGCCCCACACACAGCGTCCGCGTGTTCTGCCCCCGCCACCAGTAGTTCTCGGCCCTGCCCACAGACACAGCGTGGTGAGTGCCAGGCCGGGGACCCTGTGCCCACCAAGCTCTCTGCCTGCGAACCTGGCCGCCTCAGCGAGAGCGACAAGAACAGGTGGCCAGCCCACCTGCCAGCAGCACCAGCCTGCCGCTCCCACGCGGGGCCCAGCGCCTTGCCCGAAGCCCTCCCTGTGCCCCTCGGTGGGTTCAGGCAGCCCTTCCCGGCTTACAGAGGAGCCGGTTCCAGCAAGTGACAGTCTGCCCGCTTCACCAGGACAGCGGCCACAGGAGCTGGACCCAGAGCCAGCACTGCCTCCCACAGCGGCTCTCTCCTCCTCCTTCCAGCAAGGCCCCGCCCGACCCTCCCCACCTCACACCCCGCTCCACCGATTCCAGGGTCTTAGGAGCCCACAGGCCCCACGGAGCACCCAGTTACACTCTGCCCCAGGTGAGAGACCACACCTTCCTCCCTGCTCCCCAGCACCTCAGGCCGAGCTCCGCTGTCCTGCAGGGGCTCAGAGGGTGACACTGGGCTCCTGGTATGGCTGCTCTGCGGGCCCCAGCCCTTGCTGTGACTGCAGACCAAGCCCTGCCGACAGCCCTACACAGGCGGGGCCGGAAGCACGGGGTCTCCCTGCCACACAGACTGCCCCACACCTAATGCAGAGGCTCCCGCCCCCGCGGCTGCAACAGCACACAAGACAGCAGTGTGGGCGCGTCTGGGCTAAGGCAGAGGTGACAGTGTCATGCTGCTGGGACATGTGTGCCGCCGACCTGCCTGCTCTCCTCATCACCCCTCTCCTCCTTCACCCACCCCAAAGCCAGGGGCGCAAGGAAGAGTCCTGAGACACAACGGGACCAGTGAGGACGGGGAGGACAGGGAAGGGCACCTGGGCCCTGCCTGGGACACACGACCCCCCACGGCTGCCCACCCCTGAGATAGACAGGCAGTGGCAGGGGAGGAGGTGCCCAGCCTCCTGCAGACACAGCACCCTGAGACTACACCCTGCCTCCAGGGCAGGGAGGGCAGGGAGGGCAGGGAGGGCAGGAAGGAAGACAGGACAACACCCAGAGGAGGGACGGCACCCACCCGAAAGTAGCAGGGCTGCTCCCAGGCAGAGAAAGGCTCCCGCCACATACAGGAGCGCCTTGAGGGCCGAGGGGGAGCACGCGCCCAGGACCCCAGCTGCTCCCCAGGACTCGCTGCACCTGCTCTCCACACCTTCTCAGCGGCTCCAAGGCTGGGGGCCTCCGAGCAGAAGCGCCGTGTGCAAGGCCAGGCCTGGCAGCTGAGTGCCCCCTCCTCTGACCAGCACAGCTCAAAGCCTCACCGACGCCTCCTCCCGGGCTACTTCGGAGAGCTGCCGGAGACGCCAAGCCACGTGCCTTCGTCACAGGCACAGCCCAGGGCGGAACTCGTTAGCCCAGGGCCTCGGGGCTCCCAGCCCTGGCTGGAGGAAGAGGGCCCCCAGGGACACCCAAAGAAACACACTCTCCCCAGAAAGCCAGACAGCTGCCGCTCACTGCCCATAGCAGCCCTACGGGCACAGCAGGCCGAGGTACAGCAGCCAGGGCGCCCACCCTTCACCAGCCTGCCCCCCATACCCTCTTCCTGTCCCTGCACAGCAGGGTCTCCAGGCAACCCCAGGACTGAAGCAGCAGCCTGTGGGGCCCTGGGCGAGCGAGCAAGGCCGCAGGACCTCCAGCCTGGACCTCGCCCTTTCCGCTGGCCTCCCAAGGGCTGCTGCAGACTTCTCAGCTTGGGCTGTCTTGTCTTTCCCTCAAAGCATAGCCCAGCCCCTTGGTGTCCTCACCTACACAGGAAGCAGAGACTGTGGGCCAGGCCAAGGCCAAAGCCCTGCAATGACTGTCAAATCCTCTGGCTCCGTCCTCACTTCCATAAAAACAGCATGCAGAAGGGCTGCCAGCCACCTCCCCTTCCAAACAAGACCTCCGCGAAGCTGGGCACCTCACATCCACACACAGCCTCCTGGCTGAGCTCTGCCGCCGCCCAGCACAGCAAGCAGCACAGAGCCCGAGCGAAGTCCGAGACGGGCACAGGAGGCTTCCAGGCTGGCGGTGAGGGGACAGCCTGAGAGCAGGCGGGCACAGGAGGCTTCCAGGCTGGCGGTGAGGGGACAGCCTGAGAGCAGGCGGGCACAGGAGGCTTCCAGGCTGGCGGTGAGGGGACAGCCTGAGAGCAGGCGGGCACAGGAGGCTTCCAGGCTGGCGGTGAGGGGACAGCCTGAGAGCAGGCGGGCACAGGAGGCTTCCAGGCTGGCGGTGAGGGGACAGCCTGAGAGCAGGCAGACACAGAACCCGACACGCGGAAAGCCAGCTCACCCGACCGACACTCGCAACGAGGACAGAGGAGCAGTCAAAGCCCTGCTGCCACCGACACCCAGGCCCACTCCATCTGCACCAGCTGTCATGGCCTCCTGCCCCTCACCTCCTACCTCCTGAGCAGCTCTGGGGACCCAGGGCAGGCTGGTGACCTTGGAGGAGCAGGCTACGAGATAAATCATGGGCAGCGGCAGCCGGAGGCGAACCAGCAGCTGAGCCAAGCAGAGGCAGGGACAGAAGGCAGGACGAGGCGGGCTGTGACAGCCTTCAGGCAGCCACCCTTCCGCCCCTCCCATGGCCGGCACTGCTCTGTGACCCAGGACACCAGCCCCAGACACTCACTCTGGAAACACAGGAAGCAGAGCTGCCCAGGGGACACCGCCGCAGTGGGGGAGAGCTGGGTCAGGGCAGCCCTGGCTCCCGGGGTTCAGGATGGCTTGGCCAGGCACCTTCACCTTCCCGTTTCCAGGCTGCTCTCAAGGGGGCCATGCCTACAAGCCCCTCCTCACCCCTCTTCTCCAAACGCGCAGACCCAAAGCATCCCCAAGCAGCTTTCTGCTTCTTTCCACTGCACCAGGACTCTGCAGCCACGTCCACCCCTGCCACCGCGGGAGTGCCATTCCCGGTGCTGGGCCTGTCCTGGGACCAAGGGACAGGGCCATGGTGGGTGCAGCTGAGTCCTACATCTGCTCACCCAGCTTCCCAGGCTGACGTGGGATTTACCGAAGCACCCCGCAGGCCCCGAGCCCCAGGGCAGGCAGAAGGGCTCTGTGAGAGCTGCGGGGCCTTAGCCTCGCCCAGTTCTGAGTCAGGAATCCTTCTCCACTCTTTCCAGGTTCTCAGGCACACCCCTGTCTGAAGCCATCTCCAGCCACCTGGCCCCAATCCTCAGCTGCCCTGGGGCTCAGGTGACGGCAGGTCCTCCAGGGGAGATGGAGAAGCCCAGGCTGAGGCGGCCAGGGGGCTCGGCAGGAAGGGTGGGAAGGGTGGAAGTGAGCAAGGCGGCCTGGGCAGGCACGGGCTTGCTTTGGGTGCTGCAGGGCCCCGGGTGGCAGTCAGAGCCCCCCACCAGAGGAGCTAGGGAGAAGGCAGAAAGGAGGAAAAAGGTGGGGGTGCTAGGGGTCACTGCTCTACTGTGCCCCAAGGCCAGGCCGGCCACTGCCCAGCACAATGCGGCAGCCCTGAGTCAGGTAGCAGCTGGAGCCAGTGGAGAAGAGGGGGCAAGTTACGCAGATCTGGGGCAGATCCCGACTCAGGAGCCTGCCTGCCCCACCCCCGCCTGTCACCACCAGCCTGTGTGCTGCCTTCGACCCCAGATCTGTCCCCACCGCTCCAGCCTATGTCCGTCACACGTCCCGCAGCGAGCCCTGTCCTACCTTCCCTCGATGACGGTGATGACATCATTCATCTGGATGTGCAGCTTGTCTGGCTCCTCAAAGTCCTGCAGTGCCCTCATGTCAGTGGGCTGGGCCTGTGGGCAGGCACGGATTACTGTCTGTCCTGGACTAATCTCAGGTGGCACCCAGCCAGGACACCTTGTGCCAGCATCTGTGGCCAGCGAGTACTACCCACCCCTCACCTCCAGCAGGAAGTCCCGCAGGGCCACAAATGTGGGTCTGTCCTCGGGCTTGTGGGCCCAGCACTGCACCATGACGTTGTAGATGTCCTGCGGGCAGTCCTCAGGCCTCGGCAGGCGCTCCCCCTCCTTGTCAATCTTGTGCAGGATCTTGGAGGACGGCAGCAAGCTCAGCTCGCTCTCCACCTCCCACCCAGCCCACAGGGGTCCCTGCTGACTGCCACCTTATCCTCCGAAGGAGACCCCACCTCACAGCCTCAGACCCGGCTCCCAGGACGAGGGTGTCAGCACAGGGCGGCCTGCTCATCATGGGGAGCGGCCCTCATCTTCCCGCCCCTGGCCCACTGGGTAGCCTTTCTCTGCTCAGTCATCTAGTCGTCGTGCAGACACGGGGTGTGGGCAGCGAGGGGTCACTCAGAAGACAGCCAGGGACAGAATCGCCTCCGTCCACCCCACGGGAAGCACAGCTCCTCACCTGGCTGCCATTGAGGCCGATCCAGGGCTCCTGGCCATAGGTAAACATCTCCCACAGTGTGACCCCAAACATCCAGGTGTCGCTGGCATGGGAGAAGGTACGGGTCTTCAGGCTCTCAGGGGCACACCTGGCAGAGGCGGGAGTCAGCGGACAAGCTTGTCGTGCTGCCTGGGTGCAGAACCCGACGGGGCAGGGCACCCCGATCGAAGGGCCCACACCCTGGAGAACACCCTGTCCCCCGGGGCTCCTGTCACACGCAGCTGGGGGTGGGGGTCCTGGTCAGGAAGCTGAGGGAGCCCAGAAGGCTCCAGGTCATGGGGCAGGGGATGAGGTCTCAGGATGTTTTCTGTCTGGTAGGAGAAGGACAACTTCCGGATCTGGGGCAGATCCTGGGATCTAGGTCACTTCAGCAGGAAGATGTGGGCAGAAAATTCAGATAGGGGCTGGGGAAGAACCCAAACGTGTGCAGTGCCACACTGGTTTTACCCCAGCACACCCACACTCACTCTGGGCCCCCGCCTGGGAGAGGTTAGGAAGGGGGTGCTCCAGGGTGGGCTGAGATGCTAGGAGAGAAACAGGCACCCCGGACAGAATCAAAAGAACCCCTGTGGTACTGAGTTCAAGACCAGCCTCAGCTACACAGAAGACCCTGTCTCAAAAACAAACAAAAAATAAACATCTTCTGTGGGACCCTCATATGCCTCCAAGGGGACAGGACTCAGGGACATCCACTCAAGATCCCTAAGCTTCATTTTCCCATCTATGAAGTGGGAACAAAAACCTGCACACTCCACAGGGCTGTTTTAGTGGCTGTATTTTTTTTAAGTGAGCTTGTAATTTACCACCCCAACCAGGACCCCTGAATACGAAAGTGGGCACTGTTAAGAACTCCAGGGTAATAGGCATAACCCAGGACTCTCAGTCACCTGGAACAGAGGGAGTTATTAGGGTGTGTGCACAGCCTGAATTATATGCCAAGCAGAAGTGAACAGATTCCTCCAACCTGAAAGACCACGCTTCTTTGGGTGCTGCCGGCGCACCAGGGGACCACGATGATCTCAGCACAGGATGAACCCCAGAGAGCATGGGCAGAGCTGGGCATGACCACAGTTGCCCTGGCCTATTGCCAGCTCTACCTAGAATGTGCTCCCACCAGTCATGCCTGGATATGGTCCTGACACCCGAGGGGCTTAATATCAACTCCCTCAGGAAGGCCTTTGATACCCTGCTGAGCAGCACATCCTTCTGGCCCACAGCTTTTATCCCTGGGCCTTCTAGTACCCTTCCAGCCTTCCTGGGTGGACGGAGAACAGATGGGTAGGTGGGAAGGGCACCCCAGCACCAGAGGAATCAAAGATGTATACCAGAGACCCCCGAAATGTGAGGCCTCGGTCCGCTCAGACCAGGCTGGGGGCCAGCAGCACCTGCCCCTTACCAGGCAAAGGGCACCTTGCGATGTTCCTGCATGACATAGTGGTCGTCATTCTGGGGCAGGGCTCGCATCAGTCCGAAGTCCCCGATCTTGACCAGGTCACGAGTAGCCAGCAGCAGATTTCGAGCGGCCAGGTCACGGTGAATAAAGCGCTTGGACTCCAGGTAGCCCATGCCCTCGGCCACCTGGACGGCGTAGCGGCTCAGAGTCCCCAGGAGGAAGTGACCCTGGTGCTTCCGCAGCCGGTCCAACAGGGATCCGAGGGGTGCCAGCTCTGTAACCTGAGGCCGCAGAGACGGCAGGCGAGTGCGGCTGAGAAGCCAGTGTGGGCTCCTGGCGCCACCCTTGAAGGCTGCCTGGCCACACTCGGTGCTCCTTCCTGACCTGAGCTCCGGGGACCTGCAGGAGCCCTACCGCTTCCCAGGCCTCTCCCTGCAAGCAGCATGGGAAACAGGCCCAGGCAGAAGCAGCCCCAGGAGACTTGGGCTAGAAATTCCAAACATGAACTCAAGGGCCAGCCTTCCCACAGTGCAGCCCTGCAAAATGTAGGTGACAGCACTGGCCTGGGCCCATAGCCCCTCTGCCTGCCCAGCCCCAGCCCTTCAGGCCCCCAGCGCTCACCATCTTCATGGGCGGTGTGAGCACCACACCGTACAGGCGAATGAGGTTTCGGTGGTCAAGCGAGTGCATGGCGTTGACCTCCCGGATGAAGTCGTCCATGGCCTCAGGCTGGCTCAGCACGTCAGGCTTCAGGCACTTCACGGCCACGCTCACCTGCCGGGTGGGATGCACAGGGTGAGTCTCCCCTGGCACTGGTTCTCGGGTCCCCATAGGGCCCAGAGACACCCGGCCACTCAGCCCTGCTCAGCCTTGGGGTCCAGTACAGCACCGGGGCTGGGGGGCTGCGGGGGAAGCAGCCGGTGGACCCTGGGGGTTGTTAGCTGGACCTCCCCTTCCAATGGCAACCATGAGCTAAGAGACGTCAGGTATGACGACAGGACACTGACACTGTGACCAGTCTAATGCCCAAGACTCTGTGGTGCTACCAATGGGGCAGCGGGCTCCCTTGGAAGAAGGGGATGCTGAGTGGCGGGAGGGAGCTGAGGAGGCTCTCCAGGGCGCTGGCAATGCTTTCCTCCTGCCTCAGCCTCCCAGAGTGCTGGGGTCACAGCTGTGCTCCACCACATCCGGCTTCCTGTGCCCTCTGGCCCGGGCCTTCAGCGCAGGTGGGCACTGCACACACAGGAAGCCGCTCAACTGTGCACTTGGTGATGCATGCTAGCCCACAGGGGAAGCAAGGACTTCCAAAGAGCTACATCCACAACGTGCACCCTAACCGGAGCCCACCAAGCGCCCGAGTGGGGAGAGGTGGGAACGCAAACTGCTTCCTCCAAGTCTGAGTGTGGGCTCCAGGGCAAGCCAGGTTTGCACATTCACACCTAGCAGAGTGGGGAGGGGGCTCGGCCATCTTAGGGCTCCCCCTGGAGGCTGCAGGTGGGAGCAGAGCTCACCGTCTTGCCTGAAGGTGCGTCCCACTCGCCCCTGCGCACCACGCCGAAGGAGCCATCCCCCAGCTTCTCCAGGAGGCGCAGGTCCTTCTCCCCGATGAGGCAGGTGAGGCTCTGCAGGGGCCCCTCACCCGCAGGGGCCCCCGGGGTGGGCGAGGGCTTCCGGAAGGTGCTCTGGGTGTGGTGAGGGGGGAACTCAGACTCCAGCCGCTTTCCGCTGAACACCTGCTTGGAGGCAGCCAAGGAGCAGCTGGAACCCGGGCCAGCCAGTCACTCGGCCCAGTCCCACCCCCTGGGTCCCCCCGGGGGTCCCGGGCTCTGCGTGGGACAAGCCCCGCCTTGGCCCAGCTGCGGGAGGCCCAACCCTTCCGGGGCACAGCCAGCAGGAGCCCATGGCCTCCGAGAGTGGCTGGAAGGCACACAGCCATGGCCCCCACCCAGCTGTGGGAACAGGGACAGCCTGGGGCCTTCCAGGCCCTGCTCTCAGGTCTGAGCCTCCTGACCCACCCCTCCCTTCCTGGGCCCCACACGCCACAGACACCGGTCCAGAGCCTCAAAGATGGGGCAGGGGCCCGGGCCCTCTGCAAACACCTCCCTGTCCATTTTTAGCCCTGGCCCCTTCTCCAGGGCAACCACTTGGCGCTGTCTGTCTCCCCTCCCCAGGGAGTCGGCTGCCCTTCATCCACCCAGGGCAGAGGATAATTTTAGTCTGAGGCTGAGCTGTGTGTGTGAGTGAGTGTGTGAGTGTGTGTGTGAGTGTGTGTGTGTTCCTGCTGGGCCTGGGAAGACAGCTGCAGCTCTGGAGGGACGCCGAGCACTGCGGGCTGAGAAGAGAGGGAGACCGGAGGAGGCGCCAAGGCCTGGGGGGGCAGGGCGGAGCCGAAGGTCGAGGGGCAGGAGGGAAGCGGCTGCGGGCAGGGAGCTGGCCACCTCTCTGGCGGGCAGCCAGCCTCCGCGGCCTGTCTTCCTCCCCGCAGAGGCGCAGTCTCCCCTGTGGGCGTGAGGGGCAGCTCATCTGGGACCTCGGCTTGTCCTTCCTCCCAGTAATAGAGCGCCTTGTGTTTGCAGGCAAGGCCCAACTTCAAGGCCCTTTCCTTTCGTCTCTGCATGGCAAGCCAGCCAGGGAGGCCAGTGCCACTTTACGGAAGCAGTGACCAGGGCCAGGGAGGGGCAGATCACCCAGAGGCCTCCTGCAAGCCAGCGACAGATCAGAACTGGCACCCACGCTGCTGCTATCGTGGCTTTGCCGGCCCCAACACACTCATCCTTCCCTGAAACCTGGGCAGGGAACCAAGACTGTGTCCCCAGAAAAGGACACAGGATCCCAAGAGACAGCCCCTCTGCTGGCTGGGCCGGCCAAGCGCTCCTGCCCAATCCCCACCAGCTGTGCTGTTCTGCCACCCCAGCCGGGACCAGAGAGGGAGGGCAGGAGGCCGGCTGGCTCACTTCCTCCCTCATTGTCTTCCAGACAATGGGCGAAGTTCCACTGAGTCAGACCAGGGACTGCTACACCACAGACTCAAATTAGGATGGTAGTGGGGGGCGGGGAGGAAGCTGTCAGTGCGGCTGGTGACCAGAGCAGCCCGGAGACTGAGGAGCTGGGGCAGGGCCCCGAGGCAGATGTCCAGTCGGCCCCACCCCCCCGCAGGACACTGGCTGCAGTGTGCAGAGCAAGCCCTGGGGAAGGCACCCTGGCTGCTCCCAGGGCTGCTCCCAGGAAGACACTCAAGCGGCCGCTGCCACACAAGTGCCCGGCCTGATAAGACCTGAAGAGGGAGGCCCAGACGCTGTACAGGGACACGGCGACACTGCAGCCGCGGGGCGGGCGAGGCGCCTGGCACCGCCACACTAGACCGGGGCCGCCCCACCCACCTTGCTCATCCATGACTTGCGCTTGCACAGGGCCTTCCTTCTCTTCACAGCCTCCCACAGCCGCCGCTGGCCTGCAAGCAGGGAAGGGATGGTGCCATTGGGACCACACAGCGCCCCCAAGCCGCTGCCTACCCTGCTGCAGCTTCCGGGGTCCCCTGGGGGGACCAATGCTAGACACTGCCCAACACGGTGATGCCCACCAACTAAACAACCCCAACTAAGCGGCACTGCTGTTTGGCAGACAGTTGTGACACCTCACTTCCCATGGTGGTCCTCAAACTAGACGGGTGGGGGCGTTTCATCACCAAAATTAAATCGTGCTGGTCCTCTCCAACTTGCCAGAAAGATCAAGGTAATGGACAGAATATTCTCAATTTTGAGTTGTTTTCCTGTGAACTTTCTTATGCTACTGCCATCAGACCCAGGCCAAAAGTAGCATCCGTTGGTATCTAATTCAGCAGATCACTGACATCAAAGCTGAATGCACTGGTAAGTTTCTACAAGAACAGACAAGACTTCTAGGTGCCACAACCACTGCTCTTACAATAAATACAGAGAAATCAGTTCAACTTAGAAGAGAGGGGAGAGGAGGGAAGGAGACGTCAACGGAGAGCTTTTCTCCTCTTTCTCCACCTCTGCAGGGCATCAACCCCACTGGTGCTCAGAAAGAATAGAGCAGACCCGGGGCTCCACTTACGAAGAGAGAGGAGGAGGGAACAGGTCGAACTAACGTCTAGTCAGACAAATGGGCACAGATGATCCTGGGGGCTAAAGCTGTAACAGCCCAAGCGCCCTAAACTTGAATTCACCTTCACAACTGCACAGGTCCCACCACACCCCATGGGCAGCATCCACAGCCGTCCCTCCCCCGGGACAGGCAGGCAGTGCCCACCTGCCACCTGCGGATCATGGGGGTAGGTTCTCCCATGTGCCCGGCCATCCAGAAACAGAGCAGCTAAGTGTCAAAAGGAACAGACAGCAAAGCCGACGTCCCACCTACCAGGCCGGCCCATGCCAATCTTCTCCAGGTCCTCGTTCTTGACATACTCAAAGTGGGACAGGCGGGTCACGTTGAGGTCATCGCGGAGTCGCAGGAAGTACTGCTGTAGCTGCACCTCGGACAGCAGCTCCAACAGCCAGCCTGTGCCCTCCTCGGGCTGCATGCTGGTGCTCCCCAGCCTCTGCAGACGGGACAGGACAGAGGAACGGCTCAGGGACAAGGGACAGGGCCGGCTCGCAACACCCTGTAACACAGTGGGGCTCCCTGGGAGGGTGCAGTCCACCTTCCTGCTCCCCAAAACGGATGACCGCACTTCCCCCACTCCTGTGAGCAGCAGGGTAGCCCGAGAGTGGCTGAGACAAGGTGCAGGGCTGCCCGAGCAGCCCGGGCTACCACGTTACTCCTGAGGTCAGCGCTCTGCGCAGGTTCCTGACCTGCCCCAAAGCCCCGTGTCACAAGCCCTTTGACAGCCTCATTAAGAGCCTATCAGTTCTCTCTGCAGGAAGAGAGACACGTTCATACTCCTAAACTTCCAATTAGAAACGGGTTTGCAATGTCCCCTGAAACCCACCCCTGGGCTCCTCAGATCAGAGACCTCCCAGCACATGACACACACTCCAAAGACCCCTCCACGGGCCACCAGTAAGGGCCCACAGGGCCACACAGGCTGAGACAAGATGGTGGGGACCTGAGTGGGCTTTCAGACCCCCCAGGTGATGGGAAGCTCAGCTCCTGCCAACAGCTGTCACAAGACACTGTGGCCCCGTACTATTAAGATGTTCAGTTTTTCAGTAACAGACATCTGAATGTATACATGAAATCTTGCCTTTGATTTTTTTAAAAGAAGCGGGAGACATAGCTCAGTGGCACAAGCACCTGCCTAGCAAGCGCAAGGTCCTGAGTTCAATTCCCAGTACAAAAAAAATTTTTTTAAAAGCAGCACAGGCCAGACGTGGTGAAGCATGCCTGTAATCCCAGCCCTCAGGAGGCTGAGGCAGGAGGACTGCTGAGAATTTGAAACCAGCCTGGGCTACTCCAAAGTGAGTTCAAGACCAACCCAAGAGTGAAACCATCTCAAAAAATATATATATATAAAAAATAAAAGCAGCATGTGGTAAAATATTCAAAAGGCATAAGGAGTCTGATTCCCTCCTCTATGTACACAGCCATCAGCTCCCCATCCAAGAGCCAGCTGCTGCCCGTACTTTTTTTTCTTTCTCTTTTTTTTGGTTTTTTAGACAGTATCTCACCTTGTAATTCAGGCTTCCTTTAAACTGTGTAGCCCAGGGTGGCCTTGAACTTGTGACAGTTCTCCTGCCTCAGCCTCCCAAGTGCTGGGATTACCGGCGTATGCCACCATGCTTGGCTCCAATATCTTGTATGTGCCTTTTGAAATGTAGTTTAGCCTCACATAAATATTCACATTATCTTTACCATCCATCCTGTTTCTGGATTTCACTTAACTTACATCTTTCTCCTACCTTTAAATGTTAACTAGTTCACGTTTGAGCTCCCCCAGAAAACCAATCCATTGTTAGGTTCCAATCAGCTGGTGGGTGCCAGTGTGTGATCTCTGGCCTACCCTCTCTTTGGTCCAGAAAAAGAGGCCAGTGGCATCTTCCAAGCTAAGTAGCCTGACCCCCCGGCCACCAAACACATCCCGGTCCCATCTCAGAGCCGAGGCTTGGCCAGGCCAATCCCAGGTCCATTGCCACCAAGGAAGACCAGAGTGAGGGAAGAGGCCAGCCACCCCGGCTGGGGCCAGAGCTCCGCATCACGAGCTCATGGTGGCCTCATCCTGACTCTCGTCTCAATAGATGCACTGCAGGAGGCGGGCGCTGGCAGCCCACACCCAGCAGAAGCCTCCTGTCGCAGCTCCCAGTGGTCCTGCCAACACGGTCCCTGGAGCCCAGCGCTTCCCAGGCAGCTCAGGGCAGCACAGAGCGACAAATGCCACGAGAAGCACCCCGTTCAAACCCTGGCTCTTCTACCAAGGCGACTGGGCCAGGCAGCTGGGCCAGCTGGGGGTTCCAAGCTTTAAGCTGTAACCCTTCACTGGATGGTCTCTGGGAGGGTGTCACACTCCTCCAGAGGACATTTTTGATGGTCATGGTGGTTGGCAGGGGGAGGGCTCAGCACTCTTAGTGAGGAGTTGGGGAGAAGAATACAAATTATCCAGCGAGGCATGGGACAGTCTCAAACACTACCCCAGTCCCATGCAATGTGGTTCACACAGGTAAAAACTTGTGTATGACCATCCACACCAGAGTCAATCTCCAGTTTATATGTGAACAAGAAAATATTTTGGTGGTTTTAACATGTGCTGAATTTTCCTGAAATGGTATTTGGTAAACTGAGGGAAAACTGGACTTTGGAGCATAGCAAACACAGCACAAGTCCACTCTTTGGAAAAGTACCAGCGAAGGCAGTGGCCCTGTTTCCAGTGGCCTTGCCCCTCTCTGTCAGCACTTGTGCACACCGCCCTTGTGCTGTCCTGCCTGAGACTTGGGGCCTGGCTGCTTCTGCCTGTCACCTGGGGCGCCCGCGGGTCAGACCGCAGTGTGCTCTACGCTACTTTCGTTTCTCCTACATATCGTAGTAGGCGTGCTGTTGATTGACTCTACACACGGTTAAAGGTTATGCTTTTAATTTTATTTAAGAAGGGCAACAATAAAAACAACAGCTAATATTTCACAGCTCTGCTGCCTATATGCCAGCTCCAAACATTCAGCTGTCTTATTTATCCTCAACAAAACCGTCTGTTTACAAAAAAGACGAAGCAGCAGCAGCAGCAACAGCGCAGCGCAGGAGCACACGGCGCCCTGCGCTTCCCAGAACAAAGTTCGGAGGTGCCCTGTGAAGTGCGCGGCCGGGCAGACGGCACCGGCCAGCACTTCCACTCCCCCTGCCCTGTCCTGCAGCAAGGGGACCCTGCTGGCTATGGAGCTCTGCAAGATGGGGGCCCCTACTCCCCACCAAGGCAAGCAGAGCGCAGGACAGCTGCTCTCCCACCCCATGCCCAGTCCTGGGCTCTCGAGCCTAGCCTGCTCTTGGTGCCTGCAGGCAGCTCAGAGCCCTGCCCTGGTGGCCAAGGCTGGGGCTCCTCAGAGGCCTCTCCCTCAACGCTGCTCAGATGCCCATGCCCTCCCTACTCCGCGACCCCAGAACGGGGCTGCTGCATAGGGGCCAGGGGGGAAGAACCTGACAGTCCTGCACACAGCGCACACCCAGCTGCAGCCTCCCGGCTCGGTCTCCAGCCCCGGGCGCGTCTGCACACCTGTGTCCAACACGTGAACATGCACATGTGAAAAGCTCCCGCACACACTTGCTAGCACGCACACCAATGAGAACCAACAGCTGGCCTGAACAGAAAGGCCACTCTGCCCCGCTGCCTCGTCCATCCCCCAGCCCCGCCTCGGGCGGTGTCCCCCAGTCACCCCTGTGGTCCCTCTGCCCCACAAGGACCAGTGCCAGCCCCACTCACGGTGTACAGCTGCCTCCGCAGCCTGGCCAGGAGAGGGAACGACAGCTCCAGGCCGGGGAAGCGACGGGCTGCCGGCATCTCCACAGAGCTGATCGCCCTGAGAGGTCACTGGGGCCACGGCCCAGGAAGTGGCCAAGCAAAGGCCTCCACTCCTGAGCTTTATGCTCTGTCCAGAGAGAGGCTGGCCAGAATCTGTCCCCGGAGTCCCCCAGATGCCACCGGGGGGTTAGGAAATGAAGCAGAAGAAAGGGATGGCCCCTATGGACTGCTGCAGGCCTGACCGGGCAGCCCGAGTCCTCTGCCCGTTCTGTCTTCTCCGGGCAGTGGTCACAGCTCCAGCCCGACTCCCTGGCTCCCCCACCCGACTGTACCGCCTTCCTCCTCCTCCCCCCCCCCTCTCCCCAGCTGAGCAGCTCTGACACTGCTGGAAAAGGACCTCTCTGAATCCCTGCCAAGAGGTGGGGGGCGCTCTTCCTCCCAGCCCCCGCCCCCCACGCCTCCCTGCACACCAGACAAGGCCCCCTGTCTCTGCCTCCACTGCAGCCTCACAGTTGCAGGGCAGATCCTGGGACTGCAGGGTGGGGGCTCCGTGATTCCCAGAGCTCAGAGAAGAAGGGCTGCAGGCCCACAGGGGCTTGCTGGGGCTGTGCAGGCTGGAACACAGCCCGGCCTGGGGGCTGGACCCCGGAGTCTTTCTTGGACACTGTGGACAGATCTTTGGAGATTCCCAACTACTACCACCAAGTCTAAGCCTTGGCTGGGTGTCTCCTGGCTCAGACCCTAATGTGGCCCCGTTTCCCTGGTGCCTGACGGAAACAGGAGGCTGGCAGCCTGCCAGTGTGGGGCAGTCCAGCCAAGAGCCGGGGCGGGGTGGGGTGAAGCTCTCCGCCCCCTCCCCTGGGGCTGCCTCTCTTCTGCCCACAACATCAGGGTGCCGCTGCCTCAGGCCAGCTGGCCCAGGTCCAAAACCCTTCCAAACCACACGCCTCGAGGCCACTGCCTGGATGCCCACCCCAAAGCTGCAGGACCCCAGGCTGCAGGCTCCGTCTGGGAGAGCTGAGGGGACTGGAGACACCCCGTGAAGCCCCGCAGGCCCCTACATCCCAGGAGCTGACAAATGGTCCCTCTGCCCCTCCTCAGAGGGCGCCAGCTGCTCTTAGAGCCCCCTCGCTCCGGGCCCCAGACACACCTGACAGCTGCAGGAAGTCCTTCCTGCTCCAGCCCCCAGCCCCCAGCAGCCCCTGTGTCTGGAACACTGCTCTCTTGTCCCTGTCCAGCTGCCACCAGCTCAGGGAGCCCCAGCTGCCTGCAGGGTAGGCAGGTGGGTGAGGCTTTGGGGAGTCAGCATCCCAGGCTCTCTTCCAGTGCTGGGCCTCCTTGGGGTGTGGAAGGACAGCTGACTCCTTCTTGACTTGGGCGGGGGGCAGCCAGAAATCAGTCCTTCTTCCCCAGCACTCTATCACACATGACCCGGAGCTTGTGGAGGGAGCCAGTCTGGGGCTGAGGCTGGTGTAAAGGACGAGACAGTCCCAGAGGTCACAGGGATGCCGGGAGCTGGCTCCTCCCAGGTGCAGACCACGCCCTCAGGTGCTTCTCTCTACGACCAAGCTTCCATCAGGCACCAGCCCCAAGCAGACCAGGGACCAGGGATTAGGGGAGAAGTCAAGCAGGGATATTCCATCTACTGCAAGACAGGG